GTGTTGCTCTAACAATGACCAAGGGAGCCGGTTGAGACTGGAGGTCAGGGAGGCTTTTCACAGGAGGTGCCTGTGAGGGGACCCGAGCAAGGGAACCCAGCCAGGGGGAGGAAGTGGGGACAAGCCCTGGCAAAGATCTAGAGGGGGATAAAGCCACGTGCCCTCCCCCGACCCCAGACTATTTTGTGAGGTTCCACTCTTTTATGCTTCCCTGGGTGCCCTGCAAACAGGTGGCACTCAACAGATGCCTGTTGGAGTGAATCGATCCCAGGAGGTAGGGAATACGGAGGAACTAGCTCCCTGAAATCTGTCCCCCCGGGGTAGAGCCCAGCTCTGCACGCCCAGACTTGCCACCGGATTTAAGCAGCTTTCCTGGGTCATGGAGTCAGGAGGATGGGATTTGACGGCTATGTGCCAGGGTTTCCATGAGATCAGGCGAAGCCACGGGCGATGGTGAGGATGGGCCCCTTCTTCCACCCTCTGCATGGGAAGGGGGCGGGCAGAAGTTGCAGGAGACCTCCACCCTGTGTTGGACCCGAGATTCTCAGAGAGGGGGGGACCTGCTGTTCACTTAGGCTTGTAGTTCCCTGTTTATTGACTGCTTACTCTGTGCCAGGGGCTTGACTTGACTTGTACAATTCGCACAACGACCCAGTTAAGATCCCCACGGACAGGGGAAGAAAGCAAGGCGCAGGGAGGCTAAGTCACTTGCTCAAGCTCACGCAGCTCAAGAGCGGTGGGTCGGGGAGCCGAGCCCCTGATCTGTCTGACCAAGATGCACACTCTTTCCGTGCCCCACTAGTTCCCTCCAGGGGCCCCTCCAGGGGAGAGAGTGCATTTGGCTGTCCCGACTGAGGCCCCAGGTCAGTCAGAGCAGAATGAATGGCTTTTGGCTGCATTCCTGGCAAGCCCAGAGCCTCTGTTGGGGCAGAGAGGGAGGTTTGGGGACCCTGGCTCAGCACAGTGTCTCCTCACCCTGCTCGGGACCTCTGCACCCCTTAACTCAGTCACTCTTGCGCCCCTCTGGTCTATACCGCTCTGAACACCCCTGGACATTACTCTGCTTCTTGCTTTGTCCAGCCGTTTACTCTGTTCCCCACTGGAAGATCAGCCCCAGGCGGGCAGGGACTTTTCTCGGAGTCCCTTGTACCTGGCACGCTGAAGGTGCTCAGTAAACATTTGGTGAGTAAATGAATAGATGAGTGGTTTCTAATCTTGCTCCTTGGGCCCTGAGATTCAGATCCCCCTCCATTCATCCTGTCCAGCCACCCTCTGCTGTGGACTACAATCTGGTTTTTATGTTCAGAAGCTGCGCTTAGTGCTTAAAACACCGGGGGAAGTCCACGGCTTTCAGGGACACCCAGCGTGTGGGGCTGTCCCCCCTTGGGCCCCGAGTGCCCTGATGCCAGCCAGTGCTGCCCGCTGCGAAGGCCTTCCCGGGAGGATCGAGCCCCCGGGGGTTCCACACGGGGAAAGACATGGATGGGCAGACATGACATTCTCGCGCAGAGGCGGCCCACGAGGACTCTCAGCCTCTCTCCCTGCCTGCACCCTCCTTCCGTCCCAAGCCTGGCATGGGTTTGGAACGTGTAATAGCAGCCTACAGGGCAAATTAGAACGGGGAGGGAACTCTTTCCCCGACCACAGAGGACAGGGTAGTGTTTGGGGGAAGAATTGCCACAGGGCACAGAGCCGGCCGTGTGCGCACGCGCATGTGAGTGCGTGTGTGTGTGTGTGTGTGTGTGTGTGCGTGTGCGTGTGCGTGCATGCATGTGCTCCCCGGTTGTGTACGTGCTACGGCGGTGTGGAAGGAGCGCAGGCTGAAGATCCAGAGGCCGTCTTCGTGGCCATTCGCTCCCTGGGTGGCCTCTGGGAGCCTCAGTTCCCTTAGCTGTATAATGGGAGTGGGTGCCCAGCTTGGCTGGCCAGGCTCTCGTGGCCTGGGGCGGGGGCGGGGGGCCCAGGCTGCGGTTCTGCCCGCGCCCGTGCGTGGGGAGGAGGGTGAGCAGGGCACACGGAGGATGACGATGGAGGCATTCATCAAGTGCGTACTTAGGTGCCCGAGAGACCCGTGATCTGTCTCATGTCACGGCAGCCGTACGGGCCGGACGCTGTCACCACAACCCTCATTTGACAGGTAGGGAAACTGAGGCTCAGAGAGATTAGCATGGGCTGGTGGTAATAATCCTTAGCTCCAGTGTTTGTGCAGCTTGAACAAGACCCTGTAAGCGGTCGACATGGTGCCTGGCAGCCAGGCTGGGCCCAGTCAACCGAGGGGTTAGGGTAGCCCAAGTTTGGCAGCCAGCTGCTGGGATTTGGATCCTGGCTCTGTTGCTATCCTGCTATGTGGCCTTGGGCAAGTCACTTAGCCTCTCTGACCCTCAGGATCCTCATCTGTAACATGGGAATGAGAGCCTCCAGGGCAGGGTTTCTCGACCTCAACACAGTTGACGTTTTGGGCTGGACCAGTCCTGGTGGTAGGGACTCTCCTGTGCATTGTCGTAATTTTTATTTCATCATAATTAAATGCTACTAATGATCCCATATGCCTTGCCTAAGGCTACGAGCAAGGAGTGGGTGGCTGAGAGGAGATTTGAACCTGGGTTTGGCTGACTTTAGACCCCTTATCATGGAGCCCTCGGAAACCGTGGATGCCGTCTGGGTTGGGGTTCCTTAGGAGAGGGGGTACACGCGTGGTGGGGGGTTGGGAGCTCTCCGAAGCCGGAGCTTTCCTCACTGGGTGCTCTAGTGGGGAAAGGGGTATGGTAATTGGGAGGGTGTTGACAGCAGAGGCATGTCCCCCAATGCCTCCCCTGCCCTCACCCCTGGGTCCCCAATGAGGTGGACAGGGCTGTGCCCTGGGAAGTGTTATCTTCCCCCTTGACGCCTGCACCCCCGTGGATACCTGTCCCTGCCTCAACATGCTCCCCATTCTTGCGGAACAAAGCCATCTGACATCTCCCAAGATCTCTAGGAGGAGGTGTGGTCACCCTGGTTTTGGGGGGTGGAAACTGAGGCCCAGAGACAGGAAGTGATTTGTCCAAGATCACACAGCTGCTGGTGTCCAGGGCCAAGATAGGAACCAAACATATCTGATTTCAGCACCTGTGCACCTAACCCTTCCTTCCTCCTTTGATTAGAATCATCGACAGCCCCCAGTTTATTCCCAGGGTTGGCACGGGAAATGCCTGACCTCATTGAATTCTTCCTGCGAAGCTATGAAAAGCTGCTGCCTTTGTACCCATTTTATTTTATCTTATTTTATTTAAAGATTTTATTTATTCAGTTTTAGAGACAGAGAGCAAGGGGAGGGGCAGAGGGAAAAGGGAGAGGGACAAACAGACTGCCCTCTGAGCACAGAGTCCGACATGGGGCTTGATCTCATGACCCTGAGATCATATCCTGAGCCGAAACCAAGAGCAAGATGCTTCACCAACTGAGCCACCCGGGCACCCCTGCACCCATTTTAAAGGGGAGGGACCTGAGGCTCAGGGAGCTAAAGTAACTTTCCCAAGGTCACACTGCATGTCAGTCACTAGCAGCTGAGCCTAGAACCCAGGCCTGAATAACTCCGGAGTCCAGGCTCTCCCTCCCCACTGGGGCCCAGAGAAGGGCCAGTCCCCAGCAGGAGTGCTGATCCTCTGTAAGCCCCGCTGTACCCCCCAGGAGAGGCCTCTGGCGGTGCCCCCGCCTCTCTGGCCTCAGCCTTCTCTCTTGGCAGTCACAAAACCAACAAGGCAGGAACCAGTGTTTATTTGCTCCGTTGCTCATGTGTTGGTTTAGGAGAGGAAGACCTAGAAAAGAGAGCTTTTCAGACATCTCCCTGCAGGCCGCGAGGGGTGGCGAAAGTTCCAGGAAACTGGGCCTCAGTGCCCAGCCCCGCCCGCCCAGCAGTGTGCCGCAGAGGGCCTTGGCCTGCCAGCCAGCCAGCCAGCCCGCGGGGCCTTGCTTCTCCCTGTCCTTGCTCCTGGTTAACCGCTGGGCCCAGAGCTAGGGAGCCCTGGGTGCAAGTCCAGCTCTTCTCCCTAGAAGCTGTGTGGCTGCCCCTTGTAAAGCTCCAGTCTCTCCATCTGAGAAACGGAAACAAATCATACCTCTGTCTGTGTGGCACCCTTCTAGGTGATGGGGACGTGGGAGTAAACGGGACAGAGGCATGCCCTGCCTCCTGGTGCTCATGGCCCGGGAACGAACTAGTCCCATGGACAGATGGTCAGGGAGGGCTTCCCGGAGGAAGGGACAATTGAGCTGGGAACACAGGTGGGTAGGAGTTAGCCAGACCAACAGGGGAGGGAAGGGACCAGCAGCGCTTAGCCTTGGGGAGCTGAGGTTTTGCACTGTGGCAAGTCAGCTATAGTTTTGGGAACTCAGTTTCCTCCTCCTCCAAAGGGGAGTCATAAGGATGGCGCTAGGAGAGCTGGAGGAACGCTGGCTCACACAGTGCGTTCGCGCCTGTGTTCTCTGAGCACCTGCTGGGCCCGGAGCTTGCGTTTAACGGTTATGTTTTAGTCAGTGCTTCCCGGGCGCCGGGCTGACCACAGGGATGCATGCTCTCTGTTTGGGCGCCCCCATGTTACAGGTGAGAAAACCAAGGCTGTGAAATCAGCTTGCCCAATGCCACGCGGTTGCTGAGTGTGGAGCCCGGATTTGAACCCTGCTCTGTGGGGCTCGGAAGCTGGCTGGGTCGGGCAGGAGTAAGCCCCAGGCTCCAGGTTTGGGGGCCCAGGGGTGACTCTGAGGCCCTTCTTCCTCCAGCTAATGCCCAGGGTGGTTGGACCTGAGGCACATTTGCGTTTCCAGGTCCCTAAAAGAGGCGCCTGTCGCAGCCCTCGCCCGGGGCCTGCAACCAACCACATCTGGGAGTGGTCACTGCGCACCCCTGTCATTACGAGGGTGGCTTTGAAGCTCTGGCAGCAGTGCTGTTTGCCCACGTGGGAGGGGGGCTTCCTGGACCCCCCACCGCCGGCCAGCCTCCGCCCGACGCCCCTCCCGTTCCCTTGCAGGCCGAGCAGTGCAGACGGGTCCCGGGCCGGCATGGCGGATCCCAACGAAGGCCCCCACACAGGGCCCGGGGAGGTGGCCGAGAGCCCCGGGGATGAGAGCGGCACCCCTGGCGGCGAGGCCTTCCCCCTCTCTTCGCTGGCCAACCTGTTTGAGGGGGAGGATGGTTCCCCTTCCCCCTCCCCGGCTGACACGGGTCGCCCTGCCGGCCCGGGTGACGGGCGACCAAACCTGCGCATGAAGTTCCAGGGTGCCTTCCGCAAGGGGGTGCCCAACCCCATCGACCTCCTGGAGTCCACCCTGTATGAGTCCTCGGTGGTGCCTGGACCCAAGAAGGCACCCATGGACTCGCTCTTTGACTATGGCACCTATCGTCAGCACCCCAGTGACAACAAGCGGTGGAGGAAGAAGGTCACCGAGTGAGTATTGCTGGCCCCCTGCCAATGGTCTCCTCTGTGTTGAATCCATCCACCCATCTCTCCATCCGTTCGCCTGTCTGTTCACGCACCTGTCCACTTTTCCATATACCGGTCTGTTCACCCATCTGTCCATCCATCCACCGTCCATCCATCCGTCCACCGTCCATCTATCCATCCATCCACCGTCCGTCCATCCATCCACCGTTGGTCCATCCATCCATCCACTCACCCATCCATCCTTCCGTTCACCATCTACCCATGCACCCACCCATCCAACTCATCCATCCATCCATCCACCGTCCATCCATCCACCGTCCATCCATCCATCCACCGTCCGTCCATCCATCCACCGTCCGTCCATCCATCCACCGTCGGTCCATCCGTCCACCGTCCATCCATCCATCCACCGTCCGTCCATCCGTCCACCGTCCATCCATCCATCCACCGTCCATCCATCCATCCATCCACCGTCCATCCATCCACCGTCCGTCCATCCATCCACCATCCATCCATCCGTCCACCGTCCGTCCATCCGTCCACCGTCCATCCATCCGTCCACCGTCCGTCCATCCGTCCACCGTCCATCCATCCATCCACCGTCCGTCCATCCATCCATCTACCCATTCATTCATCCAGCTCCCCGTCTTTCTACCTGCTCATCCACTTGTCCAGTGCATCCGTCCATCATCCACTCACTCACCGCTCTCTCTACCCTTCGGCCCTCCTCGATCGCTCCAGCCATCCACCCACGAAAACCCCTAAGGACCCCTCTCAGTCCTCTGTGTGTATCTGGAGGATAGTCTTAGGTCAGGAGACGGCCCGCTGTTGCCTGATCCTTGCCTGTCCCCCTTGACGATCACAGACTCGTTTACGCCCTTGGATGAAGCCCTTGCTTGGTCAGGAGCTGTCTCCTTTCTTTATTCACTGAGTCACTGATGCATGTAGTGTGTGTTTCTCAAGCACCCACCCTGTGCCCAGGCAGTGCTGTTGGCCCCGTGGCTCTAGGGGTGAGCCACACCAGATCCCGCTCCGACTGAGTTTAGACCCTGAGCAGCCTTCACTGGCACCTTCATTTTGGTGGGTGAGCCAGGTAATAAGCAAGTAAATAGGCACGTGAACATACAGTTTGGGTTGGGGGAGGTGCTGAGGCAGAGAGAAGAGCTGATACAGGAAAGGTAGTCCAGGAGGGCTTCTTGGAAGAGCCAGCATTTCAGCCCAACACTAAGGGATGAGAAGCAGCGGCCACACAGGCTGAGGAAGGTGTTCCAGTGGAGGGACGTGCACGTACCAGGGCCCGAGGCTGGAGGGGCTGGGCATGCCCAGGGAACGAGGCCGTGCGGTCATCCACACACTGCTGGACAATGTGCTCCCCATCTGCTCAGAGGACAGCAAAGCGCCCCAGTGTCCCCATTCCTTCCAGGTCCTGCCGGAAGCTGGTGGGCTCCATGCTCCCTCTCCCCTCCCTCAGAACCCCTCCTTCATGCCCTCACCACACCCCTACCCCACACAGGGCTAATAGCCCACAGGAGGGGCTGTGCAGGAACCGGGGCTGTGGCCATGGGTGGCTGAGGTCTTCAGAGACCCCGAACACCACCTAAGGAGGTATGGGGGGTGAGGGTGTTCTTTTCGTTTCGTTTTTTGGCTCCAAGTTCATGATTCAGGAGCAGATAAAATGGGGGCTGCCCAGGTGCTCTCATTGGGGTTGTCGCAGTCTGCGCCTTGTCCTCGGGAGGGCGCCTCTTCCCCTGGCACCCCACCGCTGGAGGCCCTGCCCCAAGTGGGGAGTGTGGGGCCCCGGGGCCGAGGAGGGAAGGAGAGCAGCTGGCCACGTCCCCTGGCCTGCTACCGGCTCTCTCTGCCCCTGCGCCCCCGCCTGACTCAGTCTCCCCTCCCTCCCACCCAGCGCTGTCACTGTCCCCCCTCGGCCCCCCTCCGCTCTCCTCTGCCCCCTCCCTGTCTTTGTTTCTGTCTTTCTCTGCTCTACCCTCCGGTCGGTCATTGAACAGGTTCTTCCTGTGCTCCATATGCACCAGCGCTGGGTGGGTGGGGACGTAACAGAGAGGATTCTAGCTGCTCCTGGCCACTTGTCTCTTAAAACCTAGCGCACAGTAGGTGCCCAAGTGGTGTTGGTCCAATGCCCAAGGGAATATCCATTTTCTTCCTTACTTTGTCTCTCAGCTTCCCCAGTCCCAGCCTCTGTGGGTCGAGTCCTTTCTCCATCTGCCTCTGTAGTTCAACATTTCTGCCCCCCTATACAGGCTCCAGACGTACAGTGGGCGCTAAATAAGAGCCTCAGTGTCAGCTAACATGTGCTGTGTCCACTGTGTGGGGGGCCCTGAACCCCCTGTGTGCATGGCCTCATTTGTCTCAAATGTTTGTTGAATGAATAAATCAGTGAGTGAATGGCTGAATAAATGAATGAGTTGCTTTATCTTTTAGTCCAGCATTCCTCCTTTCTTTTCTCACTCTCTTTGTCTCTTTCAGTCTCTGGCTTAGGAAGTACTCAGTAACTGACAAATGGAAGAGTGTATGGGTGGTTGGAGGGGGTGGATGGGCAGGTGGTGGATGTCTGGTTGGGTAAGTGGGTAGATGGATGGATGGGTGGATGGATGGGTGTGTAGGTGGGTGGGTGGATAGATGGATGGATGGACAGATGGATGGACAGAT